GAGCACTCACAGGAGCCCAAGCCACTTGATAAGACACGCTCCACTTCCCTGCTCCCAGACAGAAACAAATTATAGACGTAGGACAGAAAGAATGGTGAGCTGAGCTTCCCATCATGCTTTCATGTCATTATTCTTGAGGGCCAGGGAGGAGGAGCAAATGAAGAGAGAGAGGGAGGCAAGCACTCCATGCGGAGCCAGTAAACTCATCTAATCCAAGCCCCTTTGTCCACAGTCTCAAAGGATTCCCAAGGACTGGCAAAGGCAACACCAGGAGGAGGTCAGTCTCAACAATATCCCACGCCACGTAAAAGAGAGCTTTCATCGTCTAGCTGGGGAGAAGGCACCTTGCTTTGAACCAGCAAACTTATAAAAAGCAGCCAGATAACAACTGAGTGAACAACGAGTAGAGAACAGACAAATGGAATCTTTCTGGGAACCATCCAAGAGGAGCTACGATAAGTGTTGCGTTAGGGTGATGGTGGTGTGAGCTGATGGGGTGAATATCCAAGTGTCTGTTTGCTGTAACAATTTGTTTGACTGGAGCTAGCTGCAGTGACGGTTTGACTGTGTATTGATTTGTGTGAAAAGTGAGACTGTTTGAATTTTGGTGAACTGGCAGTGCATTTGTTCTAGGTGAGCTGTTAGTGGTTGAATGGAGGGAAGGCTTTAAGCCAGGCCAACTGCTTTTTGCCAGTTGTGAACTGTATGAGCATCAAACAGAGGACAAGCAACAGGAGGAGTTCGCCTGGGGGAAGTTCCTACAGAGTTTTTGTGCTTTTCAGTCTTCTGTGAAGCTCCTAGAAGAAATTGTAGAAGCTCCTAAAAAGAAGACAATATGGATAATGAGCGATCAGCTATTGTGACCTGCAAAGGATGTGTCATGTTTGTCAGTCTTCCAGCGGATAAAAAGCAACTTCATTGGTATGAAGTGCAAGCTGGTCTCCATATTGGAAGAGAAGGTTAAAAGGACCAGAAGCCCAAATATCCACCCTGCGTTGCATCAGAGAAAATGAAGACTTTTGGGTCAGAAGTCAGCATTTAGTACTGCAGGCACAGTATGCTGAAGAATCAGAGAGGGCAAAGCAGGAAGGAAATCTAGCAGCATGTGACCTCCAGAAGAAAGAGGAGAACTCATGTACCTCTCATGCAGACAGAGGTAAGAAACCATTTTCAGGCTCTCTGCCCAGGTATTACAGCAGAGAATGGTTTGGAAGAATTCTCTGAGGAAAGGAATCAGAAGATGACTCCATAGAACGAAAGTCATGGGATGCACAGTCCTAGGGATGGGAGTTCCATGACCATCATCCCAAGAAGAGGAAACAGGTGGTGGCGGTGGTGGTGTTTGGGGACTCCCTTCTAGAGGGGGACAGAGTCATCCATCTGCCATCTAGACTGGGAAACTCTAGAAGTGTTCTGCTTGCTTGGAGCTAGAATTCAGGGTGTGTCTGTGTCTGCTAAGACTGATCAAGCCATCGGACTACTACCTCTTCCTACTTCTCCACATGAACACCAATGATACTGCCAAGAATGATGAGCAGATCACTGCAGACAATGTGGCTCTGGGAAAAAGGATCAAGGAAGATGAGGTCCAAGTTGTGTTCTTGTCTATCCTCCTACTTGAAGGAAAGGGCTTGGGTAAGGATCAGCAAACTGTGGAGGTAAACGTGTGGTTGCACAAGTGGTGTTGGAGAGAGGACTTTGGATTCTTCAACCATGGGATGTTGTTCCAGAAAGGAGGATTGCTAGGAAGAGATGAAATTTTCTGAACAAAGGGAGAGGGAAGAGCATCTTTCACAAGCAAGCTTTTTAACTTAGTGAGGAGGGCTTTAAACTAGGTTCTCCATGGAATAGTGACCTATTTATAATGCCCCCTAAAAGCAAGAATAAGTGTTCACATAGCACTGTTGTAACCTGCATCACAAGGTATATACATGCCAAATGTGCTAAAGATTTGTATGTCCCTATAGTCTTCAGCCACCATTCCAGAGGACGTGTCCATGATGATGTTGGGTTCTGCTTGATAATGATCCAAAGCAATGTAGTCTAATGCATGTTCGTTTTCATCATCTGAGTCAGATTCCACCTGCATAAAGTTGATTTTCTTGTTTGGAAGTTCAGGTTCTTTAGTTTCCACATTGGAATGTTGCTCTTTTAAGATTTCCAATAACATGCTCCACACCACATCCTTCAAATTGAGGAAAGCACTTCAGATTCTTTTATCTTCAGTTGAGTGCTGTAGCTATTTTCTAGAAATCTCTGTGACAAAGCTTCTTCTCTGCTTTGGTGAGTTCCATGCTTATGGGCAGACTGCTTGCCTTGGAGGCTCATGGTGGCCCTCAGTTTAGACACTTTTCCCAGGGGCACAAATGTGCCATTTATTTAGCCACCTTCATCACTGGCTAGCATGGGGAAAGAGAGGAGACCAATCCCCACCAGTCTTTGTTGCCCCTCTGGGTGGACCAGGGACTCTTTTCCAAAATAGTCCTTCCCTACTGTCTGGACCAACTCTCTCATGGCAAGTACGGAGTTGGGGGAAAGGAGGAAATGGGGAATAGAGGGTGGGCCTGGGTTCCGGAGGTGCCAGCCCGGGGACTCTGTGGATGGCATCTGTCTGTAATGTCCCCTGTATCAGCTGTGTGACAGTTATAATTTGCTGGCTACTTCCCCATGGTGCATCCCTAGCATCTTCCTTACAGCAGGACCTTTCTCTGGTATCTGACAACATTTGAACCTTCCAGATCTTCCACAGCACCTCCTTACCCCCAACTTCTTGTGTGCACAATGAACTAGTGGAAGGGAAGTCTCTTTAACTAGAACTAGTTAGTTCTTAATTGGCTCTAGGTGTCCTGATCAGCCTGATCAGGAGGTTCCTGACTGACTCCAGGTGTCTTTATTGGCCAGCCTGCTTTAATTGATTCAAGAAAGTTCCTGAATGTTCTGGATTAACCCTTTTTAGCTTACCCAGAGAAAAGGGACCTGTTTAATACAGGGAAAACATAACAAGAGCCATCTTATGGATGGGATGGTCCCCCATATTGATATTACCCCATGAGGCCCAGAGTGGCTTGGGGGATTACCTGGAGGGCCTGGCTCAGGGTGGCAGCAGGGGGTTGACTCTCTGCACTCACTGCGGTGGTTGGAAATGCAGGAAATGGAGTGATGCAGAAGCCTGTTCTGCCACCATCTCTCAGCTGGGTCGCTGCACTTCACCATAGCGATGGGAAGCGGAGCAATGCAGGCTCTGGGGAGTGAAGTGGGCCGGGGCCAGATTGATCCACTTCCTGCTGCCATGATGAAGCAGAGCGACCCATCTGAGAGGTAGGCAGAGGAGCGGAGAAGGCTGCTGATCTTAAGAATGGCCATACTGGGTTAGATCAAAGGTCCATCCAGCTCAGTATCCTGTCTGCTCACAGTGGCCAATGCCAGGTGCCCCAGAGGCAATGAACAGAACAGATCCATTCCCTGTCACCCATTTCCAGCTTCTGACAAAGAGAGGCTAGGGACACCATTCCTGCCCATGCTGGCTAATAACCATTGATGAACCTAGCCTCTGTGAATATATCTAGTTCTTTTTTTAACACTGTTAAAGTCCTGGTCTCCAGGACATCCTCTGGCAAAGAGTTCCACAGGTTGATTATGTGTTGTGTGAAAAAACACTTCCTTTTGTCTGTTTTAAATCTCCACCTATTAATTTCATTTTGTGACCTCTAGTTCTTGTGTAATGGAAACAAGTACATAATTTGCTGATTTCCACAGCTCCTGCCACGTTGGTGAGTGCAGGGCGGCGGGGGAGGGGAGGCCAAACCCATGTCAGGTCCCTCGGTAATTCCTCAAGTCATGTTGTTTCGGGGTGGGGGGACTTAGGGAAGGATTGCAGAGCAGGTGTGGGAAGGAAATGAAGCAGGGACAGAACTTGGAGGAAGGGGAGGGGTTTCCCTGCGACGCAAACACCCTTAGGGACTGCCCTGAATATACCTGCCTTCAACAACTCTCCTGTAGCCATCTGTAGTGGAAATGCGAAAGACAATTGTGAGGTTGAGGAAATTAGGTGGTGTACCACAAACATTCCTTTTATGCCTGCATCTCCTAACAGGCCTATCAGGCCTGGATGTTCTAGGCTTTTTGTGCTTTTTGCTTCTTATTATTCTTTTGTTATTCTCAGAGTTAGCTGTTAGTTCAAGATGGTACAGTGTAGGAATGCACTGTTGACTTTCAACAAGTTCTGGGACAGGTCCCAAGGCTAGCCACTTTCTTTCCTATCTTTGTCTGCAGCATGTTCATGCACAGCCATCCTCACTTACCCCTGCTCCAGGTAACAGTTACTGGGTTACAAAGCTACAACCATTTGCTATGGGGTAGTGGCAGCACTTAGGACACCAGTGCTTAGGTGTTTCAGTGCTAATGGACAGGAACACAGTCATCTAGGGCAGTGTTTCTGAAAGTGTACCATGGAAACACTTTCAGAAACACTTTAATTGGCCTCCCTGGTTTGTTTATGTACCGGCGCCATGGCCACGGAGCCTCGCGGCTTCTATTGGCTCCATTTCATCCTTTGCAGCCAAGGAGAGCCGCAAGAAGCAGCATGGGCCGGCCACCTCTTCCTGCGGCTCCCCTTGGCTGCAAACAATGAAACGGAGCCAATAGAAGCCACAAGGCTCCGTGGCCGTGGCACCGGCACATAAACAAACATAAAGTGTTTCTGAAAGTGTTTCGATGGTACACTTTCAGAAACACTGATCTAGGGGGTTAAGCAAATGGATTTAAAAATGCCATGGGTGTGTAAGTGGTGGATTTAGGCACTTAGTTCTTCTTTAGGCACCTTAGTTTCTTTAAAAATCTGTCCCGCTGGTCTCAAAGTTCACAAATGGATATATCCTAAATAAATCTATATGCATACTCATTTAGAATTTCTCAATTGTTTCTGCTAAATTGAGAGTAACTGTATTTTAGGCTATTTTCTACAACATAAAACATACATACTGAATAATTTTGCTTTTTACCTACTGCAGCATTTTGAGGAACATCAAGGTGAGGAATCTTTGTAATAAATACTGTACCCCTAAAAACAAATAAATATAATTTTAAGAGATTGTCATTCAAAGGGCAATGAACAAAAATGCTTTGCCTGTTCTGATACTTCGGATAAAATTTTGAGCCCTGTCTTACCCTGGTCTCTGCAGAGGTTAAGACAATGAACGTAATTTTTCCTTGCAATTATTCGTGGAAATACTTGAGGTTTTTTAAAAGCATAAATTCCCTAATCACAAACGTAATCAGTAAAGTACACTTCTCAATTACCTAAATAAGGCTGGCTATTATTTGTATCCTCGAATTGCCACAACAGCCACACTCTGGCTTGTAACAGCCTCAACTATTACCTGAAAAGTGATGCCAACACAATCCCTGTTCCAAAACACATGTTCTGCACTGTCCAGCCCTCACCTGGACAGTTCAGATATGAAAGGCCTGTTGCCCCTGTAAAGCATCAATACACAACAGTTTATTTACTTTAACTGGAGTTACCAAGCTATTCAGCGCAAACACAACACTGGATTAGTTTTAATTAAAAAATAACACAAGTTTATTTAACTATAAGAAGAGATTTTAAGAGAATACAAGTACAAAGTATTAAAGTCAGAAAGGGTTACAAGAGAAATAAATATAAAACGCTTGCTATAAGCTAAGGCTTAAACTAGACATGGTTCAAGATAAAATCCTTCCACGTTCCCAGCAACCAGGCTGATCAAATTCTAACCTCAGAGCCCCTCCCAAAGTCCAAAGGCTGGTTCCTGTCTTCTTGGATGAGAAAGATGGGGGAGAATCTGGAGTGTTTTTGCCCCTTATTTATAGTCAAGAGACCTTTTCAAATGCAATTTCCTTAAAGTTATATATAAAGTTCCTTCCTGTTGCGAGGATGGAGACATGCAATTTCATGATTAAAGAGATTCCACACTGTTGCTTGCTAAAATGCAGATTGATCTGTTCCTGGCTCACCTTTATTACCAAAGAACGGCCACTTGACAGGTCAGTCAACTTTGAGGACACCTAACTAGAGGCATTATTTAGGAACAGGCTTATCCCCTTCCCAGACTTGTCTGGTAAACATATGCTCATAACTTTACATAAAATGTTGCTACACACATTTCAACAGATATTATTGACCTGCTGAGTTATTTGTTTTCAAATGATACCTCACAAGGCATATTTTATATAGAGGTTATTACAATAGTGTGTTGAGTGGAGGTTCCCAAACTATGGGGTGCACCTCTTCTAGGCTAGCACTGAGGCATACTCGAGGGTTGCAACAGATTTGGCCAGCCCCTATAGGGGACAGAGAGTGAGCACCACCCAGCCCCATGCCACTCCCAGTCTCAGACCTAGCTCCCAGTTCCACACCTAACTCCTATATCCAGCTTCAGTGTGGCTCCACATCTGTCTGAGGGCCTGGCTACCAGCTCCCACTGTTGCCTGGCTGCAGCTCTGCTTCTGGCCCTACCCCCTAGCCTTGATTCTGTACCCAGCTCCAGCCCCCTTACTCCTGTCTGTCCTCCACCCCAGTGTTGTGGCCCTGTTCCTGGCCCTGGTGGGGAGGTAGGAAAGTATGGACAGTGGGAGCACAACCCTAAAAAGTATGGGGACCAATGGTGCAGGGTGTCAGTACTTTTAACAGAAAAGTTTTTCCATTAAAAGTATTTGCGCAAGAGAGTGTCTATATTGGCATGTGCCTTTGTGCAAAAGAATTAAATAACTAAATATTTCCCCATCGTATTATAGAATATAAATACAGAACAACAGTAAAGTAAACAATAAATTCATACCACAATAGCTTTTTTGATTAGCAATGATCACTACTTTGGTTCCCAAACACTGAGTATCACTATATTATAACAACCAACCAACCTATTTCCTTGCCAACATAGATTATTCCCAACTGGATTTTAGGATTCTGTGTGGTCTACTAATTGTGCCAAGTGGTAGCAATTCCAGAAAGTATTCTATGGCATAGGCCATTCTTAATAAAGGTCTAATAAAATCAGTGTCAGGAAGTTTATTCTATTTTTTTTTCAGTTACACCTATTCTAACTACTACATACTATATGGATATAGGAATGGACACAAGAATGGTTTCACCATCACTGATACAAAGCCATCTCTTGCATTAAACTGCTTATTAGCAAAAAGTAAAACTACTTTATAATTCAAGGCTGGAAAGAATATCCTATCCAAATGAGGTTACAAGGGAAATTGTATGCTGGAAAACTATTGTTCTCCTGAATGTCATTTGTTCAGTGCATGTTATACTCACTGTAGCAGAGATTGAGATTGCTCAATTTCACCCGTCTCATGAGCGATCTGGGAGGAAAAAGTGTTGGAACAACTTGGTGAATATAAACTATTCAGTGATTTAATTTTTCAGCATTATTATACACCTAGCTTCTTCCTATCATTAGTGGTTTTGGAAGATCTAAACACAGCAGTTATCAGTGAAACTCTGAATTCTGCTAGACCAGATTACTATGTAAAATATTGTTATGGCATATCAGCTAGTTATTCAATCCAAGTCACGGAAGACAAAATATAGTCAGAATTAAAATATATAATTAAATTGTAATACCCTTAATCTTGAGCTATTTTACTTGCGAAATGACAAGCTATTTTACTTGTGAAATGAATTCCTTGCCTCAAATTCACCCTCCTTAGTGAATTCATTCTCCTAGCCCAAATTATTTCTAACCATGCTTTCTTCCCTCAGGTATTCTTCCAACCTGCATCTTCCAATTAAAGAGGATAGGCTGCTACTCCAGAAAGGGCTGAAGTAACAGCATTAATCACAAAAACTATTAGAAATGCTATTGATAACCTAAAACTAAGGCTTTGTCTACACTGAAAAGTACTTTTAGCCTAAAGTATTAATTTTAATTAATATAGTTATATATGTGCAGGGAACAGAACAAACCTTTGTATATTGCTTTCATCGATCTGACCAAAGCATTTGACCTTGTCAGTACTAAAGATCTGTTCGCAATTCTGGCTAAGATCGACTGTCCTCCAATTCTGCTCAGCATTGTTAGGGCCTTCCATGATGGCATGAGGGGGACCATCGTATACGATGGATCCACATCCGAACCCTTCGAGATTCTCAGCGGAGTGAAGCAGGGGTGCGTGCTGGATCCAACACTGTTCGGTATCTTCTTTGCAGTTTTGCTCAAATATGCCTTTGGAACTGCTACAGAGGGCATCTTTCTCCGCACGAGAACGGACGGCAACCACTTCAAACTGTCGAGGCTTAGAGCAAAGACCAGGGTGCTTACGAAGCGTCTAAGGGAGTTCCTTTTTGCTGACGATGCAGCTATTGCTGCTCACACTTAGCAGGAACTGCAGTCACTCATAACTCGCTTTGCGGACGCATGAATGGAATTCGGCCTCACAATCAGCTTAAAGAAGACCCAGGTGATGGGCCAAATCGTGGGTAACGGGCCATTTATCAGTGTGTTAGATTACGAACTGGAAGTCATCCATGAGTTTGTGTACCTAGGCTCTATGATCTCGGACAACTTGTCATTTGATAGCGAGATTAACAAGCGCATTGGAAAAGCCGCCACAATGTTCTCCAGGCTGACGAAGAGAGTATGGGCCAATAATAAGCTCACTGTACACACCAAGGTGCAGGTCTACACAGCCTGTGTTTTGAGCACACTGTTGTACGCCAGTGAAACATGGACTTTGTGCTCAAAACAAGAGCAGCGGCTCAACATATTTCATATGCGCTGCCTTAGGTGTATACTCGGTATCTCATGGCAGGACAAGATCCCCAATAGCACAGTGCTTGAGAGGGCGGGCACTGTCTCCATGTTCACTCTTCTCAAACAGAGGCGTATGCACTGGCTTGGCCACGTCTCACGTATGTTGGATGGCCAAATACCGAAGGACCTTCTCTTTGGCGAACTGGCGTCTGGAAAGAGGCCGAAAGGGCAACCTAAATTGCGCTATAAAGACACGTGCAAGCGTGACCTCAGTGCTCTCTCTATCAGTGCGAACACCTGGCATTCGCTTGCCTTAGACAAATATGCCTGGAAACAGAGAGTGAAGGAAGCTCTTGCTATGTATGAAACTACCTTGGTGAAGGAAGTGGAAGACAAAAGAGCCCTCAGGAAGATCAGTGCCCGTGATACCAGAGCGACATCTGCCTACTGCTGCTCACAGTGCGGAAAGGACTGCCATTCCCAGATTGGATTGCACAGCCACAGAAGATGCTGCTCGAATCAGTCCAACAGGGGCGCAAACCCATGATCCTTCGGGATTGAAGGATACCTACAAATCGACGAGTTATATATGTATTACAACCCTCTCCCCACCCCTGCTCCCTGCCAGTATGGGCCCTCTTATTCTAAGAGTTCTTTCTTTTGGTTTATTTGATGTCTTTTGGGAAGAGGATTAAACTAAACTGAAAAAAGTCACTCATAGCAGAATAGGAGTGTTCACACAAAGGAATATACTATACAGGTATAACTGGGGTCTAAAGAAATTCTCATAGAGGACAGGGATATCCATGATAACAATGTAGAGTTTCCTCTTACACATACTGTCAGCCTGTCAACTGCAGGTGGAAAAAATTGGTTGTGAACTGGAGCATCAGGTAATTTTACAGGCTAATTATTAACATTGGGCAATTTGTTATGTAATACTAGTAGATTTCAGAGCAGGAATTATCACTAACAACCTAGCTAGAATAGGTACTGAGCAACAGATTATCCCTTTTGTTTTAAAAAACAACTCTTCCAAAAAGATTGATTCATATTCTGTGTTAACAGTTATGAATGACCAATGGTGCATTCTGGTAACACTAATTTAGGCATATCTACCTTCCATCTATCACTTGTAGAGGTGCGTGTGTTACAAAGCACAGCTGCTCCCATACCTCAACACCTCTATTGCAGCCCTATTCCTGCAACAGTAGCAAGCTTCACACCCATAAAACTCCAGAGGAAACATTTCTGTGTATTCCTGGGGTGAGCATATATTGCAGATTTGATGCTACTTCTTCCATAAAAAACTACATACATTCTGGCTCTTTACACATACGGAAGGGGGAAGAACATAGTAAGGCAGAGTGATTCTAATAAAATGATTCATTGCAGTATTTGTGCAGCTGAAAAGCTGTTATTTCTATACATACCGGATTTATATGGTTCTTTTGCGTCACATTTTTTAGATCATTGCTGAATTTACAGACAAGCTGAATCTCTGGGGAGAGGTTTTCTAAAACTAAACACAAAACCAGGTAGTTCAAGTCACTTTTGTTATGATACTGTTACACAGACTCAAGGAATTTCTGCAAATTCCATCTGCCTGAAAAATAATTTAACAAATCACTCCTTCACAAAAGTCACCTCTATTAGACTAGATTCTAAAAATCAATATGGCAGATGCAAGAATTGAAAATAAAATAATTTAGGGTAAAAAGATTATTTCTTTTGCAGGCAATATTTTGAAAACATGGGCTACACATCACACAATGTGATTCACATCTGACAATAGATTTTTCTGGAATTTTAGTCAGTGTCCTCACGCATATAATAAACGATAGTACTCACCTTTACACATTAATTGTCAAAATGAGATGGGAAGATTAAAATTACTGAATGATTATACTGAGAAAAACTCAGCTCTAGAATAATACAGAGTGCAACTCTGTTGATTCTGATCCCTTATGTTGCAAAAATCCAAAAATTGTTATCCATATTATTTCACTGATTATTTTATTAACTTCAGTTACTATAGCACATATTTTCTTGTCATGAAATTGATGTGCTAACAACTGCAATGGGCTGAACAGAAATTCCATTAATATGCAATCATCATAATAACAGGAACAACAACAAAGCACAGACAACTCCCCACTCCCACAAACTAAAAGCTTAACAATGAGCCAAATAGACACACCTTAAATTGTACTCTGAAATTCTAATTCTAGTGGATAACCAGAAGGTGCAAATTCCACACACATGATCTTCTTTCCTAACAAAACTCTTATCACCAGATTTCAGAGAATTCAGCTCCAGTAATTGATGCCAAGAACATCATAGCCATTTAGAAAGACTCCGATTGACTTCAATGGAGTTTGAATTAGGGATGTTAGATGTGGATTAATTGAATAATCCGTGTAACTGCATCAAGTTTTAGCAGTTACATGACTATTGGATAGTGCCTGGGGAGGGGCCAGTAGCCAATGTGCTCCCAGCCCCACGCTCCAGGAGCCCCCGGCCACCCTGCATGGTTGCCTCTCTATCAGAGGCAGCAGCACAGAATAGCAGCAGCCTCTGTCCATGGAGGGCCCGAACTCCCCGCAGACAGAGGCTGCGCTGGCATCTGTATCAGAGGCAGCAAGGGAGGAGGGGGAGTATGTGGCTTATCGGTTAACCATTTAGTTGACTACACATTGACATCCCAGGGTTTGAATCAGATCTCTACCTACTATAAATCAATATAAGGTGAGAGGTAATCTCTCAGAAGGACAGGTTTCAAACCATGAGGTTCTTAAAAATAAGCAAAAATATCATGAATTGGACATAGAAACAAACAGAAAGCCAGACTAGAGTTCTGCACACTGGTCTTTTGTGTTCAGAACAGTTCAAATATTTGCAAGGCAGGCAGTATAATTCTGCTTTGCCAGCCAAGTTTTTGCTGACACAAATATGGAATTATCACATTTCTCAAAAGTGATTACATGAGGATGAATTATGGAAGGCAATGCAAAGAGGTCCCAATGAAATTTTATAACATCATATATTTGTTTATGCATCTTACTTTGAGGAGCTATTGTAGAAAACCTTTATACTTAACCCCTACTCTTATACCCCTATTCTTCTTAAACATTTTTCTTAGTAACAATGTACAGAAGGAAAATAAGAACTAACAATTTTTTTTGTTTCAAATTCATTTATTTCAAATATATTGAAAATCTGGACTGAAAGATTATCTGTTATTCAAATTTTTTTAGAGATGCAAAATTATTTTGCTTAAAAATACTGTGCAAAACTAGTTTAGAAAGTGTCAGAGAAATACAGGTCTCAGGAAAAACAACATATACTATCCACCGAATAAAGAAGAATTTCTTACCTCCATTTACTCTTCTTATTTTGGCAGCAAAGATGGTTTCAGTTTTTAGAGATAAGTCCTTATTAGCAAAAGATAACCTTTAAAAAATAAAAAGACATGACCTACAAATTGTTCTATTGTCCTCTTATCAAAAGGTACAAACGCAAGCAACGAAATATTAATCAAAGCCAATATTTCTATTCCTTCCCTTTAATATCAGTTATTAAATGACATTATAACGATGTGAGATCATTTCTAAGGCAAACACCATTTTTCAAAAAGTTTAGAACGTGGTTGTAAAAATCTGTATCAAGCTGAAAACTGCCATAGATGGACACAAGTCATGAACACATCTTTGTTTTTATAAATTTCCAAAAAAATGTAGGCCACATTTCCTAGGAGATACACAGTAAGAGCACAGTTGTTTGGCATATTTAATTTTTCAGTAACCAAAGCATCAAGATGTCTACATTTGCAATAATTTTATTTTACCTATGTCTTTATAATTGATTTTTGTTTCTTTGGGTTGGATCCTGATAGTTTTACTCCCATTGAGAAATACATTACTTCTTAAAAATCATAAATATCATAGCCCATAAAAATCAATGGGACTATTTCTAGAATAAACTACTATTCCACATAAGGGTTCTGGAATACGCTCTGGAGATTTTTTCCCCCTCATACTTTAACCTGTGACAGAAAGCCTGAAAATAAATATTTAACAACAAATCTAGGAAGGCTATTCTAAAACCATTTTATTCTTTAGGATTTTAGTCAGGTTTATATTAGGAGGTAGATTCCAGTCTCACAGGATTGTTCTTTGTGGGGTTTTGTTTTCAGAGGCGATACCCCTAAATGTCACAGGTGCAACACTTAGTTCTTCCCAGGAGAACACTTTCATTTTTGAAGTCACACTTGCTCCTACACATATATATTTATCACCTCCTCGCGTGCAGCTCCTCTTCATCTAGATCACTCTCAGTTACTGAGCCCTCCACTACTGTCTCATCACTGTCACTGTTAGTATCACCCTCCTCCTGCATGTCTCCTTTTTTCAGTCCACAGCCTCCTCCAGGCAGCCACTATCTTCCCCTCAGGCAGCTCCTCCAGGCAGCCCTGCCCCTATGCCCAGCAACTCCTCCCACTTCTGAGGCTCTGAATCCCCAGGAGGAGCAAGCAAAGGGTGATTCAATGCCTTCTGGGAACTGTAGTCCGTGAAGGAGCCTCGTGCTCAGCAGATCAACAAATTTACCATAATTGTGAGCTTAACTATAAGGAATGAGTGAAACTTTATGAAAATGTTACAATAACCTATCTATATACATATTTTATAGAGTTTGTAGCCATATACATATTTTAGAGAGTTTACGCATCTATGAGTCCATCTGTCCATCTGTGAGATCATCTGTTCAAGAACTTCTCCTAAACCATAAGAGAAAAGACCACCAAATTTGGTATGCAGTTTCCTCTTATCCTAATTTAAAGCAAGGTCAGGGTTTGTGTGTGCTGAGAAAATGGGAAGTGCCTGGAACAGGATTGTTTTCCATAACATGGAACAGGGTCTGAGAGCAGGGACAGTTATGCTCTGCAATGACAACTCAGGGCAGTGAATGGAGGGGACAGGACAATTAAACTGCAGAGTGAGTACAGAGTGGTGGCAGCACCCGGAACAGAGTGGCCATCTGGAGATGGGGTTCTTCATATTAATGGCCACCGGTCACATATAAATGGGCCCCATGCTCCAAATCACTCCCCCCCCCATCCTCAGTTGCAGGACCGGAGGGGGACCCCCATCTTCCCACTAAGGAGCAGCAGGCTGGAGCTGGGTAGCAGAGCCCTGCCCTCTTCCCTGAGGAGCTGCAGGCTGGGGCTGGGCAGCGGAGCCATGGGCCACAGCAGGCAGTAGAGCCCTGCTCTCCTCCCGAGGAGACCTGGGGTGGAGCTGGGCAGTACAGCTTTGGTCCTCCTCCTTTGGAGGAGACGTGGGCTGGGGCCAGGTAGTGGAGTCCCGTGCTTCCATCCCCCTTCTCTGGGAGCTGGAAGCCTGCTTCCCCCGCCCCAGAGGAGACACAGGCCAAGGCCAGGCAACACAGCTTCCAGCCCCTCGCCCTGGAGAGGAGCCACTAGCAGACAACATGGCCCCGGGAGCTGCCATTGCAGTACTGCTCTCACCGTCATGGGTGAGTCCTCCCAGCCCTGGTAAGTCCTCCCAGCCCCCTGCCCCCACTCTGTCCTCTGACTCCTGCACTCCCTCTGCCCCAAGCACTCCTACTCCTCCCACCTCTTGCACAGACTCTTGCACCTGAACCCCCCTACCCTGAAGGTCCCAAGCAACATCAGGTGAATCTTTGAGTAATAAATATGTATTGATGGGAAAAGGTACAAGACGGAGACAGACTGAATTAGTCCAAACAACAAGGCCTGTTCATGTAATTCGAGGATTGTATTCCTTTCAGTCCTGATTAATATGAAGTATGTGCCAGAGGGCATCAAAGAATCAATTGGTGGGTCAGAAATTAGGCCTAAATGGCAAACTACACAGTGAAGGGATGGGTTTTATGCCCATCACTCCCTCTGGGAGTTGTGAAGGGGAAAAAATGAATAAATATTCCATTTTAAGTATGGCAAAAGTTTAACAATAGGGGAGTCTCCAGATCCTATTCAGGGTTTGGTGTTTAATATATTTATTTATGAGATGGAGCTTAGTTGACCCATAAAAATGGTAAAATTTGCAGATGACACAAAGTTATTTAGCTAATCAAGGATAGAAAAGACAGAAGAATGTTAGAGAGGCTTAAAAGAATTAAGTGAATGGACAATATGATGGAAGATTAAATTGCTGACAAAGACAAGGTAGTGAACTAGGAAAAATAATATGAACTATTTAATACAGAACACTGTGTTCTAAAGTTAGTAACACCACAGAAAAAAGTTGTAGTTTTCATTGACAATAGAATGAAAACCTTTTTTCAATGCATAGCAGACAACAACAACAGATAGCAAACAATATTAGAATGAATAAGAAATGGGACAGGAAATAACCCTGAAAAGATGTACTTATTTAGAAAATTGGTTGGCTATTCATTTTATCTCAAAAACACATATAACAGATAGAAGGGGTTCAGAGATAATGGACTTCTGTATGAGAAGAGACTGAAAGCAACAGAACTGTTTTAGGGAGGAGACACGTACAAAGAAACCTAAGAGATGTATACAACAAAAAAGAATGGGAAAGATAAGCTTTATCCGGCACTCCTATTTACCCTCTTAGTGCAAGAACATGAAAGGCAATAAATGTAAAACTGATAAAATACTTTTATACAACACATAGTTAAACTGTCCAATTCCTTGCCACTCGATATCACAGAGAGCAAGAATTTAATAAGATTTAAAAATGGATATGCCAGCTATATGGGTAATGCAAACATCCAATTAAATTAGATAGGATTTTCAAAAAATATTTATTGCACGCTTCAAGACATACACCAAGCCATATTAGGATCAGGCCAAACCTTTTCTTCATCAGGGAGATTATTAGAGAACTGTCCATTCTGGGGTTTCTTGCATCTTGCCATGAACCATCTGGCAGCCCATGGTATCAGGGCAGCACACTGTACTGAATGGACCACTGGGCAGTGGCAGCAGATATTCAGAATTTTTGGAATTGCACAGAACAAATCCAAATCCTGCCCTCCCCTACTGCCTAAGTTTCTGGAAGGGAATTTGGGTGCAAGAAAGCAGTTGAGGTGCAGACTCTGGGATGGAATTTGGGTGCTGGATGCAGGCTCTGGACTGGGGCAAGCGACTGGGATGTGGCAGGGGATGCAGGCTCTGAGAGAGTTGGGGTGCAAAAGAGGTGAGGCTCTGGGAGGGAGTTTGGGGGCTGGGGCAGGAGACTGGGTACAGGAGGAGGGTTGAGTGCAGGTGGTCAAGTTGTGAGGGGTCAGGCTCTGGGTGGGAATTTGGATGCAGAAGGGTTAAGGGGACAGGCTCTAGGAAGGAGTTTGTGCGCAGACTTTAGACTATGTTAGCAGGTGGGTATACAGGAAAGGGTGAGCGTGGCGACAGGACCCCTCTTAAAAGATTGGGTCTCTTCCCTGACCCAAACTTTGGTGGAGTCAGGCCCCTGTGCTCTCACACTGGTGGAACAGGGGCACATGTAACTCACTGTCCCTGACACTGGGATCATCCAGAAAAGCAACACTAAAGCTCTTGCCCCAAAGGGGGCATGCAAAGTTGGAACAAGTCATAGGCATCTGAAGATACAGACTAGCATATTAAAAAGTCTCAGAGGGATAACTATGTACAAAAGTCCTGTGACTCCTTAAAGACTAACAAAATATATTATAAACTAAAAAAAAAAGGTCTGGTAGCACTTTATAGACTAACAAAACATGTAGATGATATCATGTACATATTTTGTTACTCTATAAAGTACTACCAGACCATTTGCTTTTTAAGTTTATCCTGTACAGACTAACTCGGCTACCCCCTGAAGCTTTCCAAATATATGATATCATGCGCTTTGGATGAAATGGGTTTTACCCACGAAAGCTCATTGTAGGGGTTAGTCTCTAAGGTGCCACAGGGCTGCTCCTCGAGGACCCGAGGAACCTGCTCCAGCCCCCTGGAAAGGGAGCGGACAGCGCACCGCGCTAGCCAGGCAGAAGCCCCGCCCGGCTCGAGGGCGGCGCCCCGAGGCGATGGGCAGGCGCCTGCCAACCAGCACCCCAGGGCCAGTCACATCGGGATGGGGTGAGGGCCTGATGCAAAGTCGGTGCGAACACGGGGCCGCGTGGCCCCGACGGAGTCTGCCCCGGCCTCCCGGGGATGTAACGTAGAGAGCTGCGGGCCAAGCCAGCTCCCTCCCGCAGAGCCACGCGCGGGAGCGGCCTGAGCCTGGCACGGAGCAACTGTGGCCGGGCAGGTGGGCCCCCGGGGCGGCCGTTATTCCGGCCGGGAAAAGCAAAGCAATGGGGCCCTGCGCTCCACCCCCCAGCAGGAGAGAGGCAGCCCCGCCTCCCTGCGCTACTGGGTAGCGTAGCCAGTTGCTCAGTAGAGAGCCTTATGCAAATAAACCCCAGTCTGTTGTCCAATGAGAAATAGTGCGGCCCGTGGCGAGATGGTGCGTTTCCCCCTCCTGATCCATCTAACGCTGTGCGGCTTCGCTGGCTGGTTGCTAAGGCAACGGGCAAGTGACGCGTCGTGCCGGGCGCCCGCCATTGGTTGTGCGATCGGGCGATGGCGGCGGCCGGGGAGTCGCGCGCTGGGGTTGTCCTTGTTGCGGTGCGCGCGGCTGCTTCAGTCAGTGAGCTGCGGCGCGCCGCGCGAGAGGAAAGAGAAGGGTAGCAGCTGCAAGCGCGAGCTCTATCAGGTAAATTCAGCGAACGCCGGGGCTTGTGGGGCGGGAAAGGGGCAGAATTTCTGTCAGGCGTGGTGAGGACAGGCCTTTTTACGACAGTGGCCCTTCCGCGCCGGGGGACCGCTGCCGCCTGGGCCTGGCCTGCGTTAAAACGAAATCTTGAGAGCGGCTGCGGTAAGTGGGTTCTGACCCCGGCACCGTTTGGTGCCCCCGAGCCTGGGGGGGTTGGAGAAGGGGGAAGCCCCCGCGGCCGGAGTGGGTGAGTTGCAAGTGTTCCCTCATCTCGGACATGCCCGCTCCGCCCTTCGGCGCGCCGCAGGGAAGGTCACAGCCGGAGCCCCTCTCGTCGTACATAGCCGGGCGCAGAGAAGTGTCCTGTGGCTCGGGCTGTGGGGCAGGGGGAACGGTCATAACGTGCCGCTCGGGCCAACACCCAACGCAGGCACCATCACACCGCGTCTTTGTTGTATTTGTTGGGGGCAAATCATAGAACCATAGAACTGGAAGAGACCTCAGAAGGTCGTCAAGTCCAGCCCCCTGCTCTAGGCAGGACCAATCCCAACTAAATCAACCCGGCCAGGGCTTTGTCAAGCCGAGACTTAAACACCTCTAGGGATGGAGACTCCACTACTTCCCTAGGTAACCCATTCCAATGCTTCACCACCCTCCTAGTGAAATAGTTTTTCCTAATATCCAACCTGGACCTCTCCCACCTCAACTTGAGACCATTGCTCCTTATTCTGCCATCTGTCACTACTGAGAACAGCCTCTCTCCATCCTCTTTGGAACCTCCCTTCAGGAAGTTGAAGGCTGCTATCAAATCCCTCCTCTCTCTTCACTTCTGCACTTTCCCTCCGCTTCTCCCAACTCATGCACTTCTACCCCCTAATCAATTTTGTTGCACTCCGCTAGACAGTCTCAAATTTGACCATATCCTTTCTGTATCAGGGGGCCCAAACGGGACACAATACTCTAGAGGTGGTCTCACCAGTGATGAATAGAGAGGAATAATCACTTCTCTCAATCTGCTAGCAATGCTCCTCATAAGGTAGCCCAATGTGCCGTTAGCCTTCTTGGCAACAAAGGGAAACAATTGACTCATATCCAGCTTCTCATCTACTGTAATCCCCATGTCTCTGTAAAACTGCTCCCTAGCCAGCTAGTCCCCAGTCTGTAGCAGTGCATGGGATTCTTCTGTCCTAAGTGCAGAGCTCTGTACTTGTCCTTGTTGAACCTCATCAGATTTCTTGTGGCCCAATCCTCCAATTTGTCTAAGTCACTCTGGACCCTATCTCTGCCCTTAAGCGTATCTACCTCTCCCCCCAGCTTAGTGTCATCCGCAAACTTGCCGAAGGTACAATCCAACAAATCATGTCACTGATTCGTGCCTATCCCGTGTACCCGGGGGAGTTCAGGCATCAGTCCCACAACCTGCACAGCGAGCCACCGGTTTGACCCCGCCTTAGTCTGCAGTCGTGTTGCTGACTGGGAGGAACCACCTCACGGGAGCGCAGCCTGTAATGTAGCTAGTAATGCAGGTGGTGAGCTAAGGTGGAGCCCATGGGCGGTTTGGAAGGAACTCAAATGTGAAATTGCAGCAGTGCCCAATGGTGTGTAACCTATTGTTAAATTGGCCTCTGTGCCAGATGACTGGAAGTTAGCTTATGTAACTCTGCTACTTAAAAAAAAGTTCCAGAGGCAATCCTGGCAATTCTAGTCTGGTAGGTGTAGCTTCAGTACTGTCAGAATTGTTGAAACTAGTACAGGACAGAAAATCAGACATTTAGAGGAACACATTTTGTTGGGTAAGAGTAAACACGGCTTTTGTAAAGGGAAAATATGCATATTTCTGTTTGCTAGCAGAACATTCCCTTATGTTTTTTCCTGGTATTTTTTCTTTTGTTCTACTTTGTCTGTCTGTTTTAGGTTCCTCTTTTCTCTCCATGTGATTATCTGTACTATATTGTAAAGGAATATTAGTCTGGTTATTCTATAAAGTGTTGGCAATACTTGTATGGCTTCCATCAGAGCAAACACAATGTATTTGTAATTTTAAAAAGTCAAAATATAGGAATATCTTAATGGTAACAGACAATGAGTTTGAAAAGGCTAGAATAATTAGATGTTATTATAACTTGTTTATTAAATGGTAAAAATGTTTCAGAATGTTCTCCCACAAAGAAACTAGAATTTGGGAATGATCTCCAGGCTGTTAGGGTGAAATTCTTGGGCCACTGCAATCAATGGCAAAATGTTTAGTGATCTGACAGTCAGGATTTTGTCTCTGCTTGCCAAAGAAACCAAGGCTAGCAACATAATCTCTACCACTTCTACTGTTCTGAGCAAATGAATTGACATTAATTGTTTTCCAAAGCAAATTTCACTTCAGATGCCATTTCAGATGTTTAAGAGCAAAGTCTAAACATCTGCTTGTGTATCAAATTTGTTAAGAAAAATTGACTTAGTTTATTTTTGCAGTTAAAGAAATATGCAAAATATCTAGTATTTGTTACTGTTCAAGTAATTATTGATAAGAAACACAATATGCCTCATTGCAAATCCTGTGTAAAAATGATTGCATCAGCCAGCAATGGGCTCCTGTTCCTAACCTAAGAACATCATGTCATGGCATCATTAACCAGTAAAGCTCTAACATGGCTGAATGTAGTAGCATTCATAAAAATATGTTGCTTATTTTTATCTTAATTTTTTAAAAAGTCACATTTAGATTGTATTAAGATATTGAATTACAGGCAGTCCCCGGGTTACGTACAAGATAGGGACTGTAGGTTTGTACTTAAGTCGAATTTGTACTTAAGCCGGAACTGGCATCCAGATTCAGCTGCTGCTGAAACTGACCAGCGGCTGACTACAGGAATCCCGAGGCAGAGTTGCTCTGCCCTGGGCTTCCTGGAATCAGCCGCTGCTCAGGTTCAACAACGGCTGAAGACGGG